TTAGAGCAAAAGTTTAGCAGATTAATGCAAAGTTGCTGCAAAAACGTAAAATGTACTCCAGGTCGAAATGACATCTACGCATATCAGGATTATAGTGCACCAGTGTGTTACCACGGATGTACCTACTTTTTTAATTTCAAAGGAACGGCAAATGCGACCTGTTCGGAGAAAGATCGGGTACAGAACAATTGAATTTACGTGCTTTCTGAGACACATAGGGAAGTTTCTGTCTCCGAGCTGATACCGAGAATTTCTTGACAAAAAAAACTCAATCACTGATTTTGACCCGATCCAAATGGGGTTCAAATCCAAGAATACATAAACGCTAAACCATTATTACTTCTACTGGTTAGTTGTGGATAGCATTTTTATAATAGTTCCACACCGTATTTTTCATAAATAAACATATTTTTTGGCTTTGAGTATATTGTAAAAGTGGTTGTTGATATAATGAAGAGTGACATTAGATATTTAAAATTATTAAAAATTATTCGCTATGTTAAAATATTAACTTCCTGTTGAAAAGTTACTTACTTGCTTCATTTTGTACGTGTGACGGCGAACTCACGCCTCGTGTGTGTCGAACTATTAAACCTCAACTGATACGTTAAAGAAACCTGTGGGGGAAAAAAGTACTATATTAACATTTAATTTTAAACTTATGACAATAATGATTTCTTACATTTAAGCGAACACTACACATTGTAATAATACTAGTTTTTACGGATTTTATCGCGTATATTTAACTATAAATACCCGACGTTTCGAGCGCTTTACAGCACCCATGGTCACGGGGGGGGGACTGAGATGTTCAACGTCCAAATGTCATAGTTAACAGCGGTTACCATAGATAAAAATTTAACTTTTGTTCCGATCTACACAGTATGAACGTATAGTATCTTGAAGTCTTGCAGTTGTATGCTTGGGTTGGGATTTAATTTTATTTATTATAGGATCCCAAGCAGATGGTAGCACCCAGCCATCTTCTCTATTGAAATAAGGATGTTTTTTGATTTCAATAGCCTCGCGAATCATCCTTGGAAGGAATCGGTGTTCTTTAGTGAGGATTTGTGGTCTATCAAATCTGATGTAGTAACGGGGGCGATCCTGTACGTGTTCACAGACTGCAGACTTCCTGGAGCGTCGATTCTTTACATCAGCTATATGTTCTTTAACGCGGGTTTTTATTGATCTTTTAGTTTGTCCTATGTAGGAGAGACCACAATCACAATCAAGCTTGTACACTCCTGCATCCTGCAGAGGGACGTTATACTTGACTGATGGTAAAAACTGACCAATCTTCTTCGGCGGCTTGAAGTATGTTTTGATGGAAGCGCGCTTCAAGATGTAGCCAATCTTGTCAGTGACTCCTCTAACATATGGCAGTACAGCAGGTACACGCTCGACTGTGACCGGCTTCACTCGTTCACTGTAACGTAGGCGCGGGACCCGAAGCTTGTTGTCATGCAAAACCTGCTTGACATGGTGGAGCTCGGCAGCCAGGTGTTTACTGTAATAGATCTCTCGTGCTCTCTGAAATAAAGATTTACCCACGGTAGCTAACTGTGAAGGATGATGGTGAAATCACCGTTTAAATATCTATCTGTATGGGTCTTTTTTTCTATACACAGTATGGCTCAAGGTGTTATCAGGATTCCTAACTAACAGGACTAACACATCTAGAAAAGCTAAAGAATTGTTTGCCTCTAACTCCATTGTGAACTGAATTTTAGAATTTATAGAGTTAAGATGGTCTAAAAATGCAGTTACTTTATCTAAAGGTAGAATTGTGAAAGTGTCGTCTACGTACCGCTTGTAGAATCTTGGATTTATGGGAGAAGTAAGCAGGGCTTTCTCCTCACAGTCTTCCATGAATATGTCGGCGACAATAGGAGATACAGGTGAGCCCATCGCCACACCATCTACTTGCTTATAGAACTCCTCCTTCCACAATAGGTAGCCAGATGTAAAGCAGTGTCTGAGTAATACTGTATATTCTACGGGCATGTTGTTTTCTTCCAGCCTTCTAGTTACAATTGAGATGCAGTCTTCAACGGGTAAAGTATGTAAACAATGACTGCACATCAAAACTGTTCATAGTTTCATTGTCTGCCAGGTGTAGGTGTTAGAATGACTCTCCATCACCTTAAAAACGGTAAGGTCCCCGGCAAATATAGAATTACAACAAAGCTTCTGAAAGCGGTAGGAAAACCGATATTGAAGTGCTTCAAAAAAGCCGGTTGCCGAAAATACTTTAGTACCATAGACCAAAAACATACCCTTCGGCAATTTGTGCAGAAAACCGAAGAGTATAATCTTTCCTTTGATTTCGTTTCGTCGTTGGGCAGTTCTACAGTCAATTCAGTGTTGCCAAGTCGACTATAGGTATATCGAAGTGCTGAAGTGTTTGTACATTAGGGATGCGATGGATATCCGAGTACAGAAGGACAGAGAGGAACCTATGCAACTGCAGAGAGGTGTACTCGTAAGACAGCGTGACGGCATAGCATTTTTAGCGGCACATTAGCGGTATTGCAGAGCATTTAAATAAAACCTTGTTTTTAAAAATATTTTTTTATTTTAATTTATTTATTTTCTAGTTGTTATTAGAAGCTGCTGTCGATCTCCGGGCCTGTTGTCCTTTGCCGCCTCTTACAAAACCCACGGGACGATATGGGATACTGGATATTCTGACGCCACCACTACACGCGCAACGAGTAAGGTACCTTGTGCTAAAGCAAAAATAAAAAAATACTTTAGAAGTATTTTGTGGTACGAGAGAATTTTTCAATCAAATAACTTTGAAAAACGAAATAGTAGCCTCGTATGCTTGTTCTCGGGATGTATAATTTCCTTATTCTATAATTTATTGTATCAACAGATTTGTTTTTATACAGTAATATAATAAAGCAGAAAATAACTTTAAAAATAGAGGATGTTTAGAGTAGAGAGAAGCCATGTAGGATTGAGTAGGATATAAAATAATGTAGCACATTTGTCTTGTACATGACAAAATAATGTTGTACATTAAACACTTTACACAAATATAATTATAACGTTTATTTTTAAACAACTTCAAAAAAGGAAGAGTTTCTCAAACCTACTCCACGTTTTTTGTATGTTTCAAGCTCGATAATTATGTATTTCGATTGTGAACCGATTTTCATGATTCTTTTTTTATTTAAAAGCAGTAATAAAAGAGGATGAATTATTAATATAACGACTTAGACGACTTTCTGACTGTTACATTGAGCTTGTTATATTTCTTAGCCCAATAAAAATCTAGAAAACCAATTAGACTTGTTACAATGTTACTTGAAAAAAATAAAAGAAATAAAATAAATATCTCATAATATTTTCTGAAGTTGGGGCTTTAACTCCTCTATATATACTATGTACTATATATTTAATTCCTCTATATACTATGTGTTGACTACCTCTTCGTCTAGTGGTTGTAGTAGTGCGACTGCTGATCATGAGGTCCTGGATTGAAATCCCGGGTCGGGCCAAAATTCAATTATTAAGTTTTTCTGTCAAGAAATTCTCAGTAGCTGCCCGGAGTCTCTCTCCGGTCGTGTCAGCTTACCGCCCCATCGGATTATGAGAGTAAGGGAATAGAGAGTGCACCTGTGCTTGTGCGTACACTTGGGCACTAAAATCCCGTCCTGCGCCGATGGCTAGTCTCCGCTGAGGCCGGCCGCCGTGACTGAAATTCGGTCTGGAGGACATTATAATATGTGTACCGAGTTCCAATTACGCGGAAATTATGTTATATCTTTCAGTTATTGAGGTCGACTTTGAAATTAAAGTTTCATTAAATCTAATTTTTAAAAAATATTCTTTACAGTTAATTTTATATTTTATTAGTTTTTACTAATATAATGTATTTTCGAACAAATCGCTCACATAAAATGTAAAGTAAAGTTACAGCTTATACACGTCCCACTGCTGGGCACAGTACTCTTCTGTAACGCGTCATAAAAATGTAACACTCCTTTAATGCTTTGCGATCAGTATTACATTAATCACACATATTACTTCAAATGTCTCGTCGTTCTTTAAGGCGCCTTTTGAAAAGGGATAATATTCTACTGGTTCAGTGTAAATAAAAACCGGCCAAGAGCGTGTCGGGCCACGCTCAGTGTAGGGTGCCGTAGTTTGCCGTCCGTCACAATAAGTGTTCCCACTTATGAGTTTAAAGGTGGGTATCCATTATGTTCGCGCTCCAGCAGCGCTCCGCGCTCCTGCAACTGCTCCCGGTAGTGGGTACTGTTGTTTCCATCTTAGTTCAAAATGATTTTCCTAGAAAGTCCTTATAAAGTTCTACTTTCCAGATTTTTTTCATATTTTCTAAACTTATGGTTCAAAAGTTAGGGGGGGACACATTGTTTTTTACTTTTGGAGCAATTATTTCCGAAATTATTGACGTTATCAAAAATGATTTTAGTAAACCCCTTTTCATTTTTAAATACCTTTCCATCAATATATCACACTTTAGGGTTGAAATGAAAAAAAAATCACTTCCCACTTTACATATAGGGGGGCTACCCTAATAAAACATTTTTTTCCAATTTTTATTTTACCACTTTGTCGGCGTGATTGATACACATATTGGTACCAAATTTCAGCTTTCTAGTGCTAACGGTCACAGAGATTAAGCGAGGACGGACAGACGGACAGACAGACATGGCGAAACTATAAGGGTTCCTAGTTGACTACGGAACCTTAAAAAGAGGCCACTTATACAAACTCATTTCTAAATCGTGCCCTACTCAATACTAATGCTAGGGCTTCAATAAGATTACATTTTTAAGTGAGACTAAAGAGTCTCACTTAAAAAAACATTGCTAAATTTTATTTAAGATCGACTATTAGATTTAGTAAATGCGGTTGTCATCCCGCCTAACAATTATGGCTTTAAGGCTACGGAGGTGACTTATTTTCTGATTTTGGTAGGCTGTAATGATGAATATAAATAATACGAATTTTTGAATACTTACATTATGAGTGAAGTGAACATTGCTGTACCAAGGGTTTGCACGAACTCTACAATCCAAGTAGATATCAGATCCTTCCACTACTTTATCGGCATCTAAGTTCGCACCCAAGTTCAACGTAACGACGGGTAAATCTGTAAATATTATTCTCAATTTGTCGGTAATATTATCTACACACATATTTCAATTACACATTTTTTTCGATTATAAAGTTATATATAGCATAGATAACAGATATTTCGTATTATTACAACATTATGTCAAACGATAGTTGAAACAAAAACCAGAGAGAATCATTGACGAAATATTTTTATATAGGATAGGGTGACAAACGAGCACACAGTCCACCTGATGGTAAGTGGTTGCTGTGACAATTCGTAATCGAGGATAGATGGACATCTACATCTATCCTCGATTACGAATCAAAATGCAGATGCGTTGTCACCCGTGAGGGCTAAGATGGAATGCCTCGTTTCCAGTAAAAAGGATCTCCGGTTCACTACACTCACCATACGAAACACATCATAAGCTACTATTTGACGCTGGTATCCTGTGAGAGCGTGGTCCTTCCCCGGTCGAGCCGACCCATTCATGCTGCAACCATACTACTAATTAACTGCAGCATGGCTCTACCACGTATAAAAGTATATATAAGTAATTAGAAGAAAATATGTCTTAATTTGGAAATATTAACTAACAATTTTCTATTATTCCTGGCGATAAAGTCATGAGTCCTGACGCCTTATCGCTGTATATTTCTATCTCGTCATTGTGTTCATTTTGTTGCTTCATTATAAACAACCACTACCATTTAAAGTTCGATTACACATCGACGGAGCGTGACGTCATGGGATCGTTATTTAGAATAAACAATTTATATATTTATTAAACTTGAACTTATCATTAAAAATCGAGGACACAAAAAAAGAAAAAGATCTTTCATAACGACTTCATACTGTGCGTTAAAGCGTTAATACTGGTTTTGCTCACGTATTAAGGCCCCAGTCTGGTAAAAATTAGTGTTCTCCCAAAATTTACAACAAAACAAATATTTTTTATAGTATTAAAAAAAGTGAAACATATTTAACATTTATTTAAAGTGTAGGATTTGATATTTTTGAAACTGTTTTTTAATTTTATTTTGGTGTTTAAATTAATAGCTTTATTTTGCGTTAAACGTGCCTATGTTTAGGTTACATGCGTAAAAGGTCTTATTAAAGCCTCTGCTATGTACAAACTATAACAATATCAAGAAAAGTATTTAGGTCACATTTATTTACATATTGTCTACAGTAATCTGATCTGGTCACTTTTTTTTATAAATGCTTTAATTTTCTTATTTGAAGGGCTTAAAAAGTTGTAATTTCACGATTTTTTTTTACTGCAAATATCTATTTTTCTATTAGAAGTATAAATGTAGCAAAATCGTTCATAAAACCACATAAAATAGAACTATTTTCAAGTAAGTTAGAAATAAATAAAATTAAAAAAAGTATATATTTACGTACTTTTTACCTATATGCCATTTATAAACCAGTAACGTCTGCAAATTCACTCAGTTACGCTGGGATTTCTCGGCGTTCAGATGTGTGCAGTGTTGCTCAACGTTACTTTACCTCTCACTCGCACAGTTGATCTTTTTCCCTCACGCAGCTCTTATGGACTGAGCGGAGCATATCATGAAAGTTGTTCCACTTAAATATATATTATTTTTATTTAATTGTCATATTAGTTCTAGTTTTAGTGTTTATATTAGTATTAGATTAATTTACTTTGACTTTTATATTTGGTGTGTTTTATATGTTTTAAGTTTTATATAATATTAATTATAATTATAGCACGTATGGGTCGGCTCAACCCGGGAAAGACTGCGCCCTCACAGAATACCGGGGTAAAATAGCAGCTTAATTCTGTTTCATACGGTAAGTGAGGCGGTACTAAACACTTTTTACTGAAAACGAGGCAATCCGTCTTAGTCCACAGGGGTGACAAGGCATTTTGATTCTTAAGGGGAAATATAACCTCAAATGGCTTACCAAGATCCTCCATTATGCCAAAAGTATTGCAGCATTAATTTTGAAATAAATATATGGTAAAGTTGAGGATTAATGTTAAGTACTATGTTAGACGAAAACACGATTCCGTAAAATTTTCTCGATAGAAAAAAAAATCCAAAATTACCTCCAAACTGAACAATAAACCGCTGGTATTCATAAAATACTTTAAATAAGATCATGAAACTTTGCATACTAACTGAACTAACTATAAAGCAGTGCTTATGTTATTTACTATTTTTTAAATACCATTATTTTCACTGTAAAAAGAGATTACCTAAACTATCGGCGTCTTAAAGCTTGATTCCAGTCGCCCAGTTAGTAGGCATGTCGATTCACTCTTAAAAAAATCGATCTCTGAATCGATTTGAATATAGATTAAATCGAGGATTAAAAGATCGATTTTCGATTAATCGCAACATTTTCAAACGTGAAATTTCAAGAATTTGCGATTTTTTCTTTAATTGAACTTTAATATTTTTTTTAATTAAATATTAGATATCTTATTAATTACCATTACTAATATTGCTTTTAACCACTCCTTGTAAGCTTGAAATGCTTGTGTTAGCAGTAGTTCGCACATACGCCACTCGATCCCTTTTTCTACAAGTGATTCCATGTATCACTTTTATTTGACATTTTAGGCTAAAAGCAACATTAATACTTTAACGAAAGTGCAAACTGCAACGTACATTTCTCGATAAATCTGTTTCAATCTAATAGCTCACTATTTATTAAATTGAAATGAATGGTACACGAACACAATACTGGTTATTTCCTTACTATAAAACTTCAACATATAACATTTATTTACAGTATCTAATTATTTAAAAGTACTCTGTCTGTAATTACAGCCCACAGTATGCATGTTTTTGATAATAAATGAAGTTCATTCACAAGTTCACACTTCAAACAGGTTCACAGCTATAATATTAAATTGTAGTATGTATATGTAGTCTTTGTTCACAGCACAGATTAAGATAGACCAACATTACACAGGTAAGACTAGAATTAGAATTTTAGAAATGAAAATGAAATGACAACTTTTCGATATTATTGGATGCGTTCATAGATATTTATTTTGTTCAAATACGAGTACATATTGCGTTCAAATGATCAACCAAGTACGACCGGTTATTTTCGCGTCCCCCGCAGCCGGCAAAAAATTAAAAAACTGCGGTGTCTTACCCCAGATAGTTTTGGAATTTTATCGCTAGTTCTTGAATCGGATGAATCTGTCCGATTTGAGATGTTTTTGGATCGATTCAGTGAATCGATGCGATGCTCCGGATCGATGTAAAAAATCGATTATTATACACCAAAGAATCGATTTGTCGATTAATCGATTTTAGATCGACATGCCTACCAGTTAGTATCGCTTAGGCTTTTGAAGGGAGAAGTTGCGTCGCTTACGATCAGAAAACACATTACGCAACACGACGACGTAAAATTAAAATGGAAAAGAACCGTAATAAAAATAAGAAGTGACTGGGTTGTCGTTAAGAAACAGGCATAAATATGATAAACCTAATGAAATAGGTATCTAACGACCTATCTACTTACAGTACTCGTATTAGTGATTACAAACATGTCGGTACATAGCATACAACGCGCGGGGAAGTGGGGGCGAAATTAGAATTTGAGCTGACTTACTATATCCCCTTAACCGATGATAGATATAAATATCTACGGCCCACCGCATCCACTTCCCATCTGGTGAACTGTATACTCGATTGTTGACCTAATTTTATAAGAAAACATACTTTTCACTAAAAATGTTTAGCATTTTAATGGATAATTTTTCAGTCATCATATAAAATTTACAAATTAGCTATATTATAACCTAATTAGATATAAAAGTGCAATCAAACTATTTTATTTATACAACTTTTGTGTTTGTATTTTTTAATTTTCTAATAATCAAATATTAAGCCGAACACAGTTTATCATTTTTTTCACCACCGATGTGCATAGCTTGCGTATATCAACGAATAAAAGCAATGGCTTATATAAACAATATAAGAAAAATCATGAATTTGTTGAGATATTTACGCTGTATCTCCGTTTTCCAGCCGTCTTCTCGAGTAGTTTGCGGTATTTTTGGTTGAGCTGAACTGCATGATAAAACTCTCCCTGCATCTTCTGTCGCTGGCACGAAAGTTAGAACGCTTATGGTGATATTTCCATCCATCGAAGTCTGTTAAATAATGACGAAATTATTGTTTTGACAAAGACGTATTAAGGACAGACAGGTTACACACTACACACTAACATTATTGTATTTTAAAGTGGCGCAAGTTGTGCTATATCTACGTATAGTTATTTATTAGGACACGTTGTGGTAACAAAAAGAAACAAATGATGTTTGTTGACAAATGACAGTTATGCATACCTATCGTTAGAAAAAGATAAAAAAACATTATTAGTTACATGCGCTCATTGGTGCGAGCGCGTGACTTACTGATACGGAGGAGAATAGGGACAATAGTCAAACGAAATTACTTCAAATTTTTTACCAAAGAAACACGATATATATATATATGTGTGTGTGTGTGTGTGTGTGTGTGTGTGTGTGTGTGTGTGTGTGTGTGTGTATGTGTGTGTGTGTGTGTAGTAATGAACGATATGAGACGTTTACTAACACTTGCCGTATAATTTGTGCACTACCAAAAAATACAGGAAGGCATTTTTGTCACGAATAACTGAAAGATTTACGCTCTGTAGCGAAGTATAGCCGTGACGCGAGAGCGTGCCCGACTGAAAGCGAGTCGGGCATTTACCTGACTTTCGTATTGCCATTCTAGAGCGAGAACGACGTATCTATGTTTTTGTTTTGTAATTCTAAGTTGTAAACCCGTATGCTAAATGTAGCTTCTATAACAAATGAACTCCCTACGACTCAATCTAGGTTCAACAGTAGACATGTGATAAACTATAATGGGTAATTTATATTAAATATTTTAATAGCATACAACGCTTATATTCTGACCTTTTGAGTCTACAAAGACACTTAATATAAGTGATCAACCATTACTATAATAGCTGAAAATACTCAAATGTATCTCACAATCCTGTTAACCACTCCAACTAAGCTTAAAAGCTTATAGTAGTTGCGGTTTACGACGG